CTATTTTTTGCACTAACATCTAGTTGCACCACATGCTCTGTAAAAAACAAACCCTGAAGTTAGCAGTCTAGGGGAGGGGCTCAGATATTGCTGAATTGGTAGTTAGCTAATATGCATGAAGCCCTGGTTGGATTCCCCACACTACACCTGTGATGCCAGCACTCAGGAAGTGTAAGCAAGAGAATCCGGAGTTCAAGATCATCCTCAGCTACGTAAGGAGTTAGAGGCCAGCCTGGGCTACACCGGACCTGTTCTAACATATATGTACACACACACACACACACACACACACACACACACACACACACACACACACACATATATATATAGTCAACAGTCCAGTATGCAGTGGGTGAGGCTTATAGGTTGTTAGAAATGAAATCAGACATAGTCTTACAATCATCCCTGATTTTATGTATGGAAAAGTATGGCTGAGCTCTGAATATTGTACATATTTATGGTGAAATCATTTTTTTTTCATTTCCAACTTAAAAGATAGCTCTTCAGGTAAAGGCACCTACTTTCCAGGCTGACAGCCTGAGTTAAGCCTTGGAAACCACATGATGGAAGAAGAAAACCAAATCCCAAACACTGTCTTCCAGCCTCCTGCATACCTTGGCACACATGTGTTCAAAGATGGGCAGACAGACAGACACACACAGAGAGAGCAAATAAATAAAAAATAATAGATAAATACAGGTTTTTAAGTTTTCATGAAATTGGAATTTCTTTCAAATGCTTTGAAGTGTAAACAGCAGGATTGATGATAGTCTTCATATTCAGAAATCAGAGTCATCAGCTGTGACTCTGGACAACACTGCCTCAGTTGGCATTTTGACATCAACTTCCATGTATTTGTGTTCATATTCACTAAATTTTGACATAATTCAGAAATAGGAATGGGTGAGCACATAGTTTGTCTTAGAAAGACTATACATTTCTTGAGGTCACCCTCATAATTTCCCAAAATACATTTACTGTTTGTCTAATAAAGAAAATATTTGCTGTGACAACCATAGAAATCCCTAGGGGCTATCTATTAGCTGCAATGTGTGTGTGTGTGGGGGGGAGGTCTTCAATACCAGGGAAAGAGGCCTAGGCAATTATTAGCCAGGGAGTGGTCCTTCATGCTAAGTACTTAAGCTGTGACTGGGTATCTTGTTCAGTTGCTCTCCACCTTTTATATGGATGAAATCTCTCTCACCTAAACCAGGTGCTCACTGACCCTGCTAGTCTAGCCTGTTTGCTTGGGGAGCCCCCTGTCTCTACTTCCCTTGCTCTGAGATTACAATTAATCCAGCACACCTGCCCAGGATTTACATGAGTACTGGTATCCAAACTCCCGTCTTGCACTGCGCACACATTACCTGTTGAGCCATCACCATAGACCTGTTTTCTTCTATTTTAATATAATAACTTACATGTCAATATTTATAAAAAGGAAAAGGTCTAAAGCATGATTAAGAAGTTCAGTTGAGGACTGTTCGCAATGAAAAGAAAATTATGAAGGCTTAAATATTTTCATTGCAAACTAGTAAACATCACTCAAAAGGGCCAACATCCTACATTATTCTACCCACTCTTAAATTTCTGTGTATTATTTTACACTTTTATCTTTTCCCATGTATAATTTAAAATAAGTTTATCCAACAGATATACTAAAAGAAAATGCTACACACACACACACACAAAAAAAAAAAAAAAAACACAAGCATACAAATAAATCTTTCTTTAACTACTCAGAAACTACGGTTCCAGCGGTATCTAGACCTTGTTCACAGTATCCATCATGGGAAAGGGAGAGCAAGTGGCAGAGGGGAGCTGGAAATCCACTTACAGTTTGTTTTTGAGAAATTGGTCTTGTGGTTACAGCTGTAATTATATGAAAAGCTAAAGATGCAATTACCCCATGTCCCTCCCTCGTGTAGCCCCCTCACTACAGAAAGAGGGAGGTGTCAGTGTACCATACCACCTCTCTTGTTGATGTCATACCCAACACTCAGAACACATTTCATTTTCTTTCCTTTTTTTTTTTTTTGGTTTTTCGAGACAGGGTTTCTCTGTGTAGCTTTGCGCCTTTTCTGGGACTCACTTTGTAGCCCAGGCTGGCCTCGAACTCACAGAGATCCACCTGCCTCTGCCTCCCGAGTGCTGGGACTAAAGGCGTGCACCACCACCGCCCGGCCTCAGAACACATTTCAAAGTAGATGGCAATCACATGCGTTTCTTCTTTCCTGCTTTAAATCTTATTATTAATAATAAGAAATAAATAAAATTATAATAATAAAAATTCTTATTAATAATAGATAAAAAGAAGCTTATGAAAGAATATTAGAGACTATCTGATGCTGGAAGACAGTCCTCACATCCAACATATGTCTTAAGATCAGGTGGGCTTCTGCCTTACTTCCCCCAGCTCCCAGATCTACATAGTCACATACAGTGAGGGACTGTGTTGCTGGAGAGCTTCTCTCCAGGTTCCACCAAGCCCCGCAGTCCCACAATCCACGTAGAAAATAATCACTCAGATGCTAATATTACTTATAAATTGTATGGCCGTGGCAGGCTTCTTGCTAACTGTTCTTATATCTTAAATTAACCCATTTATATAAATCTATACCTTGCCACGTGGCTGGTGGCTTACCGGCGTCTTTACATGTTGCTTATCCTGGTGGCTGCAGTGTCTCCTCCTCCTTCTTCCTGTTTCCCCAATTCCCCTCTCTCCTTGTCCAGCCTATACTTCCTGCCTAGTCACTTGCCATCAGTGTTTTATTTATATAGAGCGATATCCACAGCAGGACTGTGCAGTGGGGACCAGGAAAGTCCCTGGGCTGCCAAGCCATGATGTGAGTGAATGCTCTTCCACTTGGTAAGAGCATCACATGCCTTTCTCCTTCCTTGTTTTGAATCTTATTATTAATAATGAGAAGATAAAAAAAGAGCATCATGGGAACAAGTGTGTAAGTTGAGGGAAAAGGTGAATCTATTACTTATTCCCCTAAGCTTAGAAGCCCTCTAACCTCCTGTTCTAAGCAAAATGGTTGATTTTTACCACATACCTGTCCATCTTATAAGACACTCTTTGATGTCCCTCACCCCAGGTTCCAGAGGACTTAAGAATTCAGATGTCAGTAATGGTTCATATTGACTTAATTTTTCCTACTTGAGATGGAGACAAAAACTTAAGCCACGAGTCTTCCAATTCCATGAGAATGAATATTTATTATCTACAAAGCTCAAATTTGATGAATAGTTTAGGAGCCAAGCTGCTGTTGAAAAGTCCGTGTGTGTCTGGGTGCAGCAGGCTACATATGAAATGTGCAATGCTTCCTCGTGTCCTGAGATTGTGCATACACCATTCCCTCCTCTGTTCACTATGAGAAGTGAGAGAACAGTGACTGTTAGTGCTTCTCACCCTGTCCAGGCATGGTCTGCTGGCCTCAGCTTCCAGCGCTCCTGTCTCTGTATTGAAAGGCCTTTCTGAACACCTGCTAAGACAGCCTGTCCCCTGTACCGCTATTGTAACTTCTGTCTTTCTCTTGTGGAGGTTCCTCGCAAGCTTTCATCGGATTCGCCTTTCTCTTTCACCCAGCATTCTCCTCATGAAGAGTAAAGGTTAAATGAACAAATGATGCCCATGAAAGGGCCAATTAATGTCTTCTTTCACCTTTGTACCCATAATAAGATACGGGTGAATCCCCTGGTGGATTCATAATACAAATTCGGACAGAGAAAAGAAAGAAGTGAAAGAGAAGGGGATGGAAAGAGACACTGTACACACCTCACTTGCAGTGAACCTGGATCCCTGAGTCACAGGATTAAAATTTGGTTTTGAAAGTACCGGGAGATTAAGTTCAGAGGCAGGGAACCATGGTGCCTTAGTAGAACATAGTTTCATTGATCTTTGACATACGGTGACTTTTTAAGGCATTATTACCAGTCTCTCTTTCATCCTATTCCAGGAACTGGTGGTTGGTCCCCAGCAGACTCCAATGCCCAACAGTGGCTGCAGATGGACCTGGGCAGCAGAGTGGAGATTACGGCAGTGGCCACGCAGGGAAGACACGGGAGCTCTGACTGGGTGACAAGCTACCGCCTGATGTTCAGCGACACCGGGCACAACTGGCAGCAGTACAAGCAAGAGGACAGCATCTGGGTAGGGAATGCTTTGTCTTCCAGTGGATAGCGGTGAGATGTGCTAATGCCAGCCAGTGAGCGTTTCTAGGATTCTGCTGTCCCCATGCTGGGGCAGCTTAACCATTGTCCTGTTCCCATTCAGAAATAATGAAATCACATCTAGACCCTGGTGCTCTCTGGGTCTAGTAGACTCTCTGGGAGAGTCCTGGTAACTCTCTCCCCAGGAAAATCAGAGAGTCAGCTGGAGAGAGTTCAGTGTGTTCCTCCCTTTTTTGCAATTTTGATTTTTTTTTCTTGACAGACTCTGTTATGTCATCTATAAAAATAGAGAAACACACCGAAAAATCTGTCAGTAAGACTGTGTTGCTGACTATCTTATTTTCTTTCCTTTGTGATGCTATGGTAAAATTCTACCAAATGCCATCAAGGGAAGTGAGACAGGGCTTATTTCGGCTTAGGGTTCAAGGTTACTATCAGTCATGGTGGCAGGAGCGTGATGGGCCTGGTCATGTGGCAACCATAGTCAGAAGGAAGAATCAATGTTCCCTCAGCTCACTTTCTCCACTGTTATATAGTCCAGGATCCTAGCCAGGGAATGCTGACACACACTGTGGGAAGATATTCCCATGTAAATTAGCACCATGAAGATAGTTTCCTACAGACATGCTCACAGGCTCATCTCTCAACTGACACTAGATTCTGTCAAATTGACAATTAGTACTCACCATCGTATTGGTTGAGGATATATATCTTCTTATCCGTTTAAATATATATCAGACATTTTATATTACTTGCCTAAATAACTGAACAATGTCGCTTGTCCAAGGTCACTAAGTGTGGAATTTGGTCTGGGGAATCTGTGCTCTTGTCTGACTGCATTGAACAGCCACCATTCAAGGTTGTAAAAACATTCAAATATAGAAAACATGGCAAAGGTTAGACTTATCCTGGCACTGTGAGTAATGATCAGTTTGGGAGTAATGCACCTGCTCTGAGTTATAAAACAGACCTTTCTTCCCTGCTGTAGCCTCGACATGTGACCTTTGTGTAAGCCAACGGTGGTCAGGAAACCGTAAGGAAAAGAAAGCAGAGACAGGAGGGAGCACAGGGTTGCACTACCTGGAGCTGTCTCCAGAGGATGGAGTTTGGGGCTTAGGAAGACGGCTCAGCAGGCACAGTGCTCACTATCAAAGGTGATGGAGTCCAGATCCCCAGAACCCACAGAAAAGCCAGGTAGATGTGATAGCATCCTTAGAGTCTTCCAAAACATGCTGGCTAGCCAGACTCACCAGAAAGACAATAGACACACCCTAAGTAGATAAAAAGTGACAGAGAAAGATACCTGAAGTCAACCTTGGGTCTCTGCACACAGGCGTACACATGTATAAACATACATGCATGCATAAACATGTATGTAGATATCAACAAAAAAGAAACTTCATGCTTTGAGCAAAATAACGTAAACAAATGCAGCTTTTGGTTTAGGAGAAAAACATGACCATTTTTTTCTAAAAGAACATGAATGGGAAGACGTGGTGCTGGCTCACACACTCTTTCCCCCACAGAACCTCTTCGTCTGCAGCTCTGACTTCAGCTACTCCATCTTTCAGTGTTAGCCCAACCTTGCTGAGAAGAATGTGTTTTAGCTGCCCTGATTCTTGCTGCCTATCCACCATCTGGGTCTCTAATTGAGACCAGGGGTAAACTAAGCATTCTGACTAGTTACTAAATGGAGTATTGAATATTATTGTTGTTATCTTTACTTGGGTCACTTATGATATCGGTTGCAATATTCTCACAGAGCGTGGCTTTTCATTTTGAAAAGACTCTTTGGAGGCTCTTCTATTTTGTTTTTCAATATTGAAGCCCACATCCATTTTTACAGATTTGTGCTTGGTTTGCTGTTCAGTTTGGAGTGAGAAATAAGCAGTTCTTCTGCCCGGGGAACGATTGGAAACTTTTATGTTGACTTTAGAGGGGAAAATAGATGTGGGATTATTTATTTTCTCCAGGGTTTTCAATCGGAACTGGTTGTTTTCAGATGGAGTTGCAGTTTTGAATCATTTTGTTTCCATCTTTAAAAAAAGATCCAAGTTTCATTTTCTTCAGATCTTGGCGGCCTTCTCTCAGCCTCCCTGGGCCTCAGGGTGCATTTCAAGGCTGGCGTCTCTGTGTTTGGGAACAGCTGGCTAAGGGCTCTTAACCTTGCTGGGGGTGTTGGTTCACTTGAGTTCCAAGTGTTTTTAATTTCTTTCAAGGCAGGCATCTCTCTCTCTTCTGCTTCCATGGAGAATTAAGTCTTGACACAGTGGACTAATTTTGGGTGTTTAATAAAAGTACTCTGGGATCACCATGGTTCTTAGAGCTGCAGTGTGGAGGGACAAGATTGTTGCCACCATATCCCATCATCTTCAATAGCCCGACACTATCCAGGCACCATTAGCACTACTAGTCGAAATTAAGTTTTATTTCTAAATATACTTGATTGCAAAATTATGGTCTGTTTCTCCTTTCTTTCTTTCTTTTTTTTAAATTTTCACAGTTTTTTTCCCTTTTCTCACTTGAAATGTGAACCTTGTCAGACTTACTCTGGAAGAACAATATTAAACCCCACTGTTTAATTCACACACTGCTAAATATAAAAGTAAGAAATCATCAACTATACCTAACTCTACCTGTGTGTTGCAAATAGAGTCTAAACTCTGAAATGGTCTAAAAAAGTCTGTCAAACTGGTGTTTTACAAACATTTCACAAAATAGGTGATGTCTCCTTTTTTGGCTAATATTGGAACGTGCATCAAAACATGCTATGGTTAAACAGATCGCCTTGGGGAGGAGAATGGCATAGTGAGTGGAATGTTTGTGGTGCAGCCGTGAGGACCTGAGCTCTGTTCCCCAGTTATATATAAGAAGAGAGAGAGTGGACGTGGTGGCACACACTTCTAGCCTAGTTCTGGGGAGTCAGAGACAGGTGATCTCTTGGGCTTACTGGCCAGCCAGTCTACCCAAATTGGTGAGTTCCAGGGTTAGTTAAAAACCTGACTCAAAAAATAAGGTGTAGGGAGACTAAGGAAGATATGTGATACTGACCTCTCAGCATACAAGCATAAATCACACATGTACACACACAATTGATTTTCTTAGTTTTTCCTTCTGAAATTTTTAGAATTTACTTCAGGGATAAGGTTATAGATTCAGGGAATGAAATGAAAAAAAAAAGAGTTTTGTTTTGTTTTGTTTTAACACAACCCTCTGAATGGCTCATTTATCTTTTCATATAATCCCCATTTTAAAGCCCGTCGGTATGAAGTATCACCTTCAAGGATGCTGCCTGAGAGGATCTTTTAAGGATTTCTTTCTTTTTTTATGTGTATAGCATGTATGAATATGCATGCATGCCTACTGACATGAATGTGGACTCACATGTGTGTTCAAATTTTGTTTACATTCCTGTGTGTACATGTGTACTATTATGTATAGAGTCCCATGGATGTTTTGAGAACATCTTCATTGATCATTCTCTCATACACCAAGGCAGGGTCCCTCACTGAACTCAGAGCTCATCTTTAAACCATGACTAACTAGCCAGCTTGCTCTAAAGAGCTCCTGTCTCCACCTCTTCAGCACTGGGATCACAGACAGAAGGCCACACTCACTCAGTTTTTAAGTAAATGCTTGGGATTCAAACTCTGGTTTTCATGCTTGTACAGGACTCCATGCTGAGTCATCTCTTCAACACCATTATTTTTTTGTTTTGTTTTACTGCGGTGTTCAGTGGCATCTTGT